ATTCTTGCCCGCACTGTACCTGCTCTCAAACAGCCATTTATAGCATTGGAATAAAGTGCTAAAAGAATTAATTTATTTGTAAACGAAAATAAAATTAAATATTTACCTTGCTTAAAGTCTGACTCACTTAGAAATAGGCAATTATAAATTTGAAAAGTTAACAGTTTTACTTATTTTGGAACAGAGATAAATAATAAAAATGTGTTGGCCCCAGAAATACATAAAAGAATCATTGCTGGAAATAAATTGTTTTATGTCCTGAAGAGTTATTTAAATTCCAGCTTTCTTAAATTAAGAACTAAATTGCTTCTTTAGAAAAGTTTTATAAGATTTGCTTTCACTTATGCATCAGAGACTTGGGCATTGACTTTATGTATGAGCTCTGGGAATTTTTCAGCAGAAGATCTTAAGTTGCATTTTTGGTGGAATCCAAGTGAATGGATCATGGAAAAGAAGATCTAATTTAGAACTCTATAAAGTTTACAAATAACCTGATATTGTAAAATTCGTCAAATTACAGAGACTTAAATGAGCTGCCATCTGGATAGAATAAATGAAGAATTGCCGCAAGAAAATCTTTCTGGCAAAGCCCAAGGGAAATAGACCTCAGGACAGACCCCTGCTAAGACAGATTGATTGTGTTTAAAAAGATCTTAATATTTTAAAGGTTAAAAACTCGAAAACAGTTGCCAAAAGTAGAGATGCCTGGAGAAGACTTATGGAGATGGCCAGGGCCCACCCAGAGCTGTCGAGCTATTGAAGAAGAAGAAGAAAATACGTTTTCTTTTCATATGCTGACAATGACTGCAAACTATATAAATATTAATAGTCTGTGAATCTTTTCTGAAAATCACCAACTTGCACCTAATAAGTAGCTTTTATCTTTTCACCAGTAAAAAATGACAAATTATGCCAAGGTGGTTAATAAGTACCTGTTACGTAGCTGTGGTAGCCTCAGGCTGAGGTGAGTTACGGCTTGCAGTTGTTCAATGCTTTGATGTTTTAGTGGACACCTGCTTGCGGCAATATCTATGGGTTGAATCATAAATGCTGTGAGAGGCCGCTTGGCCTCGCGGTTAAGACTTCAATCCTTTTCATACGAGTGGAATCCTCTACCACTACAGCAAAAGAGCTCTTGTGTACTAGATTCAAGAATTCTGATTCTTTCAAATTTGACAACGTTCAGTGGTTCTGAGGACACCATACGCCCTCCTCTAGCATATCTATGCTAATGAGAAGTGATGACTTGTTGCCATGTTTTGTGCCCTGAGTTGATGTGATTAATCATTGCATTTCTGGGCACTTGTTAGGCATGGCCAGTTGGACCCATTGTAGAACGAGGAGCTAAGGGAACAAGTGCAAAGTTCATCAATTTTTCTCTAGATGGGTGGGGGAAGGAGGTGTGTATTTTTGTCACATGTGAAAGGGGGACCACTGTGGTAACTGTGGGGCTGTCATTATTTATTACTTGCAGTTGTTTGATGCTTTGGTTTTTAGCGGAGGCTTGCTTGTGGTGGCATGTATGGGTTGAATCAGAAGCATGGCATGACAGGCCGCTTGGCCTCGAGGATTGAGTCCATTTCATGTAAGTAAAATCCTCCAACTCTAGGGCAAAAGAGTTCTTGTGCTTTAAATTAAAGAATTCTGACTCATTCATATTTTCAAGCATTGAGTGGCTCTGCAGACGCCATACACCCATTTTTGTAACTAGAAGTATATGTTTACAATCAAGACTGCTAGTAAGTAATTTTGTAGGCACAATATATGCAATATATGAGAATACTTATTAAGATGCATATACAATGAACACACAAATATTCTTTCAGTGAAGTCAGTCAGCCTAATTTTGTATTTTCATTCATCACTCTTTCTCAAAAAGTTTTAACTTCATAAGGTAAATCAACTAGCTTATTATTTTCAAAATTGCAATTTAATAGTTAATGAATTTATAGCTTTAATTAAGAGAATGGTCAGAATTTCTTTACCCTTCAATAGAACTTCTGCTTCTTAGAAGTAAAGGCATTGGCAAACACTTTAAGAATGTCTTCCTTCCTGCTTTTTTTCAATATGCATATATGTATTTAAACCATCAACTTAGAAATAAATATAATTGACTGCAATAGTGTGTAAAACAAAGTATCTTTAGCTCTATTCTGAACACTAATTTGTGATATATTACCCACTGTGCAGATAAGAAAAAAATAAGCAGCTCAGCAAACTGCATAAAAATTGACCAGTTTTTCACATAGCTTGTTGCACAATGAGTTTCATTTAAATTTTTCAACGTTTTTCATGACATCAACAATAATCATAAATAAATTTTCTCTTATATATGGTGTTAATGCGGTATAAACAGTTTCAACTAAATGTACAAGATTGTACAAACATACATGCAGTCTATTATACAACCGCATATTACTGCTGATTATTGGGTGATTGTGGATGTTAAACCAACCATCTAGCATCATACATAATGTTTGATTAATTAAAATACTACTACATTTTTCTGTTTGTTCTTCATATATATTATTTATGGATTTGGTTTATGTATTTATGGCATAGCACTCGACAACTATCTGCCTAAAGGGAAGGGATGATTTCGTGGAGGACTTTATAAGGGAAACTGGCTCTTAAGCCCCGTTCACATGCAATGCTCTTTCGTACAGCCACCTTTTACATTAGGGAGAAACAGGGATATGAAGCAGTTTCGCCTTCAGGACCGGTTCAGATGCACATCGTCTTTAGCCCCTTAACCCATAAGCCACTGCGAGCAATGAATGATGTCACAAACGCGAATCAGATTTGGCGGATTTCTAACGTTTACTTGCATCTTTTTTGACATTGTTTACTATTTGCTAGAGAACGCCATCGGAGTTTAACTCTTTAATTAATTAAAATACACCTAAATTAATTTAAAATGCAATTTATATACGAGACCAAATGATTAAAAAAAAGAAAACAAACCACATATGCAGAGCGGTTTTAAATAAAATGTTTTCTGGCTGCTAAAATTTCAAACTTTGCTTTTTGAAAAAAGGAATAAAATGACAAATTAATAGTATTAATATTAATTCTAAATGTTTTAATATTGATTATAAACGTATTAGAGAATATATTATAATTAATTCATCTGTTAAAATTGTTTTGAATGTGTTTTATGAAGATTTTAAATAAAAGCTTGTAATTTACGTTTATATTAATCAATTGAATAGCACTGGGTTTTATTTTATATCTATGTAATGAAATTCAGTAATAAAATTTTTAAGCAATTTGAAATGATTTAATGACCATATAGACAGCTTATATTCTTTAAAATGCATTTTTTCGATAAATTCTTTTATTTAAAGTCGTAAACCTTATATGGCCTAAATTATTTAATATTTTTACCGCTTAATTAAAATTATATACTTTATAGAAATAATAATGGATTTTGCAAAATACTGAAAAAAAAAAATTATTTGAAGTGGAAATGTAATTGAGATTATATTTGTTTCAAAGTTTTTGCATTATTGTTTTAAAAATGCGTTTTTATTTTTTCTCAGAAACTAATTTATTAATTTCAAAATTTATCCTTAAATTATTAAGAACTTTCTAATAAATAGAATAAGAAAACTGGGGGAAAATCATTGAAAATTGTGAGAGAAGAATGACATTTTAATTGTCTTTCAATTTGGAAGAATTTAACTTTTCTTCCAAAATTTCTCCGCTTAAAATTATTTTGTCTTACAAAACCATTTAATAACATTCATAAAACTAGATGAAAGTTCTTAAACAAAAAAAAATCATTCAAAAGGTATCAAGTCCTCTAGTAGAGTTGAAGCCGATATGCGCGACTTTAGTTTTATTTGAACGGTATTTTTGGAATACCAGCATCATATAGCATTGTACGTACTTGTTTACAAGTTTCCGCATTTCGTACGGTTCTATGTAATTTTTTTGGATGATATCGCGTCCTCAGATATCTACCAACGCGATTGTTTCGCTGATAGTCCAGTGAGCAGTCATTAAATGAAATGCGCAATCACGCAGTACAGTATGGAAAATCTCCCCATTTGCCCTGCTTCAGAGAAGAAGGAATGCTCTACCTCCATTTCGGAGAAGCAGTTAATGCTTGTCGCCGTGTGAATGGGACACGTTGGAAAAACAAGTTTTCGCTACCGGTTGAATCTGCTCCTGTGAACAAGGCTATATACATGTTATACGTGGGAAAAACAACAGAAACACTCAATATGCTCACTCAATAACTCATTTAATAATTTGCCATTTAAAATTACTTTTAAATGGGGTTTATATCCAGAATGCAATATGTCCATTAATTTTATGAAATAAGGATGAAATGATGAACTATGAAATGATGCATCCGTAGAAAAAAAAATTGCGACAATCTATTTTAGATTTTTTAGAAGATGATGTATTTACAATATATTTACTTAGACAGATATGGGAAGTGACATACTCTCTTCAATTGTACTAACATGGTTTATCTAAAATAATTTAAACAATTCCCTTACTTAAAAAAGTATTTATATTCAGTAATTAAAATGTCTTTAAAAGCATTACAGATTATCATCTTAATCTTTAATTTTAAGACTTTTCACATCATTTAAAAAATGGAAGAATATTTGATTTTAATTAATGATTTATTTATAAAAAATCCAGTGATTTAAATCATCAATTTTAACCATTTGATTAAAATGACATCATGTTTGAATGACTAATATCTTTTTTGACAGGGAATACTAAAGTCTCCCATATAAAGGAAAACACACTATTCAAGAACTTAGAACAGTAAATTTAAATCACTGATTTTAATAATCTGGTTAAAATCATTAGTACCCTACTAAATATACTTAAATATATATTATTTTTATGTCAGAATGCTGCATTAAATTGCTTTAAAATAGTTATTTATGGAATATTTTCTTGTACACACACACACACATACAAAAAAAAGAAGAAGAAGAATTAAATCAAATTTTAAAATTCATAAATATACTGACTTGTCTAAGTTTCTTTTTCCTTTCTTTAGCACTAATATTTTTGTCATTCATGATACTTGTTAGAAGGTCTTTAAGAGCTTCAGTAGAGAGAGTTACTTTTTGTTCTTCATACTGCTGTTTTGAAACCAGTTCACAATATGTTAGAAAACAGGTATCATCCATAGAACATTTAATCTGCAATAAAGGCACATATAGGAGCAATGAGAATGAAAGAGTGCAACCCCGAAACAATAACCAAAGTAATAATAATGCAGAGCATGCACCAGAATAAAGCACCATGCACCATGTGAATAATTTAATATCAGCTAAGCAACAAAATGATTCCTTTGTGACAGATGCAGCTTAAGAAAAGATGACATTCAAAATACTCTATATTCATAAACTGCAATTAAATATTCAATTTATATCATTAGAAGTTAATAAATTCATATGCACTAAAACTGTGTTCAAAATACTGTCAAAATCCATTCATAATGAAATTGTAAATACAATGGAAACATTGATTATACTGATTATATTTCCTAAGATACTTAAATTATGAAATGAATTTTAATTTAATTACAAACTAAAATTAAGTGTTTTAAAAAATTGATATTTTTGTTGCTTTGTTTCATGAATTCACACTTTTGGCCTTAATATCAGTTATGATTTGCTTGATATCTAGTGCTTTACTAAATACCAGCAAGTAATATTTCTAAGATGATAAAATATGAACTTTTATTTCAAACATTATTCATCTCTTATTAGTGCTCTCATGCAGTTTTTTGACTTTTGCATAGAAAGTTTTTTTTATTTTATAATATAAAAGAGCATATCTTAGAATTTCCAGTACAGTCACATGCGCTGGAGATAAAAATGCTTTTCCCCCCCATGCAGTGTTGCCATTGCTAACTTTGAAATCGTTGAATTTGTTAATAAAAAATTCATTAAAGTGTTACAAAATATGAAATCAATAATAAAACAAATTCCAAATTAGGGTTTCCAGACACCCATATTTGATGGAGGATTATGTTATTCAAAATTTGATGGCAAAATTAGGTACCATTGTTTGATCACAATACAAGAAACATACCTACATTTCTGCAGATTCTTCATTATTTAATTTCTTTAAATATAACACAGGGTGATAATACTGGGTGGCAACGAGTTGAAAAGCGAAACCGACAATTAAAGTTTTCAACGCAAAATGCCAAAATGAAGTTAATAGCCCTTCTGGACTATGTTCTTCACAACTAAAACACATAAAATCTTATTCAACAGCAATATCAATAAATACTCAAAAATAGCAAAACAGCACACCTTTAGAATTTCAAATACACAGTCTCACACACTGGAGATTACAATTTTTTTTCGATGGTTTAATTCTTTGTTTGGATAATATAGTTCAACCAAAATAACACATTGAGGTTGAGGGTCCATTTCATCTCCATTCCAAAAATCAAGATAACCATTATACACAACTTCCAGTATTCTAGTATAGTTGAGCCTGACCATTCTATATCATTTCCACTAGTCAATCGAGTATTTTCCATTGTAAATCAGAAGTAATTAATTTTCAGTATGAAATGGCATAATATAGTACGGAGGAGTCTTCAAAACAGACAACGGTTCTCAACACGTGAAAAGTCAAAACACAAAAAAAGGGCAAAATAATATGTTACGCAAATGAAAAACAGATTCTATGAAATGGGCATATGAGCCCGGAGAATGGTGAAATAAGTGCTGACATGTACCAGAATAACAAAGACAAATAAGGATACTAATTTTTACAGAAAATCTTAAAGTAAATACAACCAACTAAAAGAAAATATTTATGACAAATTTTGTTATGTCTATGGCTAAGAGAATATTTGTGAGACGTACAACATGGAAGAACCATGAAAACTGCCATGCAGACAGATTGTTCGCCTTTTGCTATAGTCTATAAGTGGCTATTGGCCTTGAAAAAAAAGCTCAGATCGCAAAAATTTACGATTGTTAGAGAAAAACTGAATCAGGATTTTGGGGTTTAAATTTTTGAATTCAATAGTTGAAAATACTTTGCTTCTTTGTGTACCACTGGTCGAGAACCCCTGCTTTAGATGATCTATCAAGAAGCATTAATTCTGGACACAAAATAGCTGTTAGCAAGATAACAGCGAAGATATACAAAGGTAAACATAACGTTTTTAATATTCATTATTAAAAAGCCAGCAACAGATATAAAGATTACCCGCTGTATAATTATTAATTTTATAAATATTAAATACATGTATTAATTTAAAGCTAATGGTAACTTTCAAGGAAATGTAATTTGTGGCATATTTTCATCAAACTAAATATCTTTGTTTTTATAAATTATTTTGAAAATTTAATATACAGTTACAGTCTTTATGATAGACTCTATTACAACAAGATATCACTGTTATGAAATTTCAAGGGCTGAAAGTTTGGTTATATGGCTCATTATACTTATATATAAACATAATATATGTATTCAGAAATACAGCTATATATAAAAGAATGGAAAGTGTTAAAGTTTTCATGTATGGCATGTCATTATTCTCATTCAGTATGGTTGGATTATAAATTCAGTATACCAAAACATATTTTATAATAATTATACTTTTAGCAAAACATGGTGAATTTGTATATTCATCTTTAATTTTCAACTGTCAGGTGACTTTGATATTAATAATTACAGCAACATATATTTAAATATGTTTTTCCCTTTCCTAGATATAATCATTATTCATCATCAGTAATTGCAAACATGTAATAGAAAAGTTTAAATTCCCTCTTCCAATTATAATTAGTTAACTTTTTCTTCAACAATATTTCTAATAACAGCTGACTGAAAGAATAGAGTTCTCATATTCATAGTTACAGCTGGCATTTGATAAACAAAAAAAGAATTATGGTGTATCACTGCTACAAAAGAGACACTTTTATAATAATATAATACAGTTAATCAAAATCGCAATAACAACCTTGTATTTAATGTACATATATTAAAACACTCAATCGATTTTGAGGGCAGCTAAAGGTCCCTCCTGATCAGGAGAACAAAATTACTAGAAAGGGGGAAAAAGAAGAAAAATAAAGCATCAGCAAAGGAGTCTCAGAAACATGTGGTCGTTATCAGCACTGCATGTGGTCATAACCAGATTTTGAATCAGAGTTACACTGGCCGCCTACTTTTACTGAGCCAGGTTATCTGATCAAACATAACACATAGACTAAAACGAAAAAAAAAAAAAAAAAAAAAATCAGCGAAATAAAAAAAATAGGGAGCGAGGGGCAACTGCACCTTCACGCACCAAGTCTGAACCTTAAATGACCTATAATACAGTTACTTTAAAATTTTGGGATCATATTATAAATAGTAATAATGAATGTCACTTGACTAGTATAGTTATTAGCAGAGGTAGCTGCTATACCAGTGGTTTGGGATTTAAATCTTATACAATGAATGAAGTTTGTGATAATTATGTCTATTAGAATAAGAGTATATAAAATCTGTTAGCATCAAAAGTCTTCTCATGACTGCTGGCAGAAAACAACTATTTGAGCAATGATAGTCATGATAATCACGATTATCTTCTGAAATATCTTGATATGAACTTGTATGATATAGTACATAAAAATGAATAGAATAATTTCAAATTTAGGTAAAATATTTCTTAAATATGAAGGCAATTACAAATTTTTAAATAAATATAAAAAAATTGAAAGCGGGCATAGTAAAAGCAATGAAAAGCAGAAAGAAGAAGAAAAGTTTAAAATAATGCCTTGAAAATACAATAAAATTTAAATATATTACCCTTCGTAACTGAGACATTTCTTCAACTTCATTTTTGAGGTCACTTGGTGGTTGTAATAATGCTTCGCAGTTATCCAAGAGGAAAGACACCATTTCATAAATAACTTTTTGATTCTTTTCACATTGCACTATAGCTGGTAGAAATGTTTCCAAAAGCTAAAAAAAAAAAAAAAAAATTTTTGCAAAAATTCAATTCATTTGCAACATTACTTGTAAATAGAAATTTAAAAAATTAGTATTTAAGTATTACATCTAGAGGCAAAAGCTGAGAGAACCGAGAACACAAAAATGATGTAGTAATTCAAAACTGGTTTCTTTCTCAGTAAAAAGAAGTATTGTTAGGACTTACAAAAATAAACTTTTATGCTTTTAACTTTACTATTTATTCCTCCATAAGATGAAACTATTTAATATTTATCAAATGAAATTCAGTACTTTCATTTAGGCCCTAATATGTAAGATGAAAACACAAAATACATTTTTAATAAGTATCAAATCTTTTGAAACAGTTCCTCTCTTCTGCAAGATATTTTTTGGAAGTGGCATTAGTTAAAACTATATGAACAGCTCAGAGTTTATCTGAAAATTAACAACTTAAAATTTAATTTATTAAAACAACATAAGCCCAAGTTCTTTAATAGTAGACAACATAATTATAAGTCATCACAATATGAAATTCAAAAACATTTGAATTTTATGAACAGCTCCATAAAATGGTTTTGTGAATTAGGAACTGCATTAAATCCATTTTTCAAAGTTTCCTACTACTTTTTTCAAAAAATTAACTAGTTCATATTTCCCTTTCAAAAATCTGTTAAAGCCATATTTCAATGTTTATTTATTCTTTCAATGCTTATTAATTCAATATTTTAATTGATACTATATGTACCAAAATCCATTAATGTAAAAGTGTCAAATTTTAATGTTAAAAATCAATACCAAACTTAAGAAAAACTATACTTTATTGAATTTACAATATATAGTATGCAATTAAAGCAAATATATGTAAAATTAATGGGGGGATTTCTGAGGAATTTTATTCTGTACATTTTTTATGCCCATTACACTCATCAGATGACGAATCTTGAGTACATGATTGATTTTGAATTATCAATACCAAAAGTCAATATTGTGCTGCCTGTTTTAACATGTCAGCCCTAATTTATAAGAAAAACAAGCATTTAATTCTGGGATATTCATGCATGATAGATCATTATTCCAATCATTTATTCAAAATTTTCGGTTAAAATCTCATTATTAGTGTGAATGGTTATAGAAATTCTACATCCAAAAGTGTGAGTGTTGTTGGTGGTGAAGGTGTTATTATTATGAGGGTACCTGAAGTCATAAATATAGAGAGATCAATCTCACTACATTACTGGCTACATAAAAAGATAATGTATTTAATTATAACCCTGGCATACATTTTCTTTGAAGCAGTCTGTTAAAAAGATAATTTTTTTATTGTAATTTGGGGGGACCATTTTCTTTGTAGCATCTGTTTGGTACAAGAAAATTTTTGTTTTTTTTTTGCTAATTCCTTTAATGGCCTCTTAATACTCTTGCATGAATTTCATTCAAACACCTATATACATGAAAACCTCTTCAAATTTCTGTAATTCCTCCGTAAAAGTTTGTTGTTTTCCCCCCCACCCTTTTGTCCTGCCTGCCAATACATACTTTTGGTAATAAACCTCAAGTATGACTTTTTTTTCTTTGATTTGTACAGCATAAAAAATAAACCATCCAATAAAAATGAACCACTAAATTTTATTAGCACACTTTTTTTCATTTTTATTCACCATGAAATCTTTTGAAGAAAATTCGAATTTATTTATCTATGCTTTTTTTCATCATCATTTGATGTTTTGTTTCTTGGGAGAAAAAAAGCAGATGGCCAAGTAAATGCAAGATAAATTTATAGAAATACATGGACTTTATCAATGTTCTTATAAAACTGCCGTTTTTGTTTTATATAACCTCAGCTATTTCTGCAGTGTTTAATTTTGATGGCTGCTATGTTTAGTACTTATGATGAGTTTTTTTTTTTTTTTTTTTTTTTTTTTTTTTTTTTTGGATGCTATGCAAACTTTTTACTGAGTTGAGGAGTGGCACAAATGCAAATTAGTTATGTTTTTTTAGTGTTGCAACTTCAGTTGGTAGTTACTGAAGTTCCAATGGCGTAGATTAGGATCTTTTCGGAGGTGTGCTATGGTACAGCAAGGAAGAATTCAAGTTTTTTGTCGCGTCTGGCAAGTCGCCATTCTTCAGCCTGTGTGACATCTCTAAGAAGAAAATAAATGAATTTTGCTCAAGATAATGCTTTGAGATTTCTTTAAATTCTACTGAAGATGTATGACAGCAAGTCTACAGGATACAGTCCACTAAATACCAATGATAGAATGTACAAATATATTTTATAGGTACAGTGTCACTGGTGTGGTTTTAAGCATATTAAAATTCTTTAAGAACATTCTAGTGATTTTATACATTTTTATGCTGATTACATCATTATGCATTAAGCTATATAAGTTAAAAAAATTATCAACTTTGGATTATGCTGTACTGTAAGTATTTACTAAAAGTATATGATGAGCAAAAGGGCTTTCCCTGATTACAAAAATCTTACATGAAATAATTATGGAAAATAGAAATGCACAAATTTTATGATTATGTAATCCTAATGTTACAGCATTTTTACCATGTAGTTGATGGCACTAAGGAATAGTTAGTAAGAGAATTGCATAGATGAAAGAAAGCGTATTTTGTGGTATCATAAAACTACGGTATTTGAAGGCATATAAGATGCACCCTTATTTAGAAGGCCACACACAAGGGAAAAAGGTTTCAATAGCCCGCGTGACAGCGCGGTACCACAATAACTTAAAATGTGGTTTCTTTTAGTTCTCACATTTCGTAATGAAATGCTAGTATTTTTCTTATATCTGCTGCCATTTCTGTGCAATGTTGTTTTTGTGCAAATTGATAAGCATTGCCTTTTCATGAACCTGTAACACCAGCCCTCAGACCCTGAAAAGTTCTGATTCCCATGTTTTTCTGCAAATCTTTTGGCCTCATTGATTATCATTTTAGTTGAAACACTTATCCCAGATTTCTTCTTATCTATCACCCACATTTTTACGGCATTTTCAAGTTCAGGCCAAGATGGAGCTGGCCATCGAAGGTTATGTTTTTGTTTTTTAGCAGTCTTCAGTTGATCTTCCTGCAGTCTCCAAGTACGTATAATTTTTTCGGTAGGTGGTGAACCGAAATGCCTTGCTGCTGCTCTGTTTCCATGCACTTTGGCATAGTTTAACACTCCTAGTTTATACTGAATAGTATAGCTTAATCTCTTGTTTCCTGTAGTCATAATTTCCAGAGTATTTTTTTTAAAACAAATAGTTTCAAGCACCGACACATTTATACAGAGTAGTACAGTCCCGACACGTGTGTCGGCTGAGTCAAAGAAAGTCTATGCAAAGAAGAAAAGGCTCCATAGACGTAATGTGACCGTCGAACCTGTTTGAACTTCGACTTCAGCTTCGAGCTTTGGGGCGACAGATATTTCACGCATGGGCATAATAATTATGGCAGATGTAGAAAACGTTATGTGTGTCTACACCTTTATCCGGGCTAAAAATAGCATTCGGTATTGAAAGTTAACCTGTGTCCTTCACATATAAGACCCAGGTAACTTTTTTGAGACCAAATTTAGGAAAAAAAGTGTGTCTTATATGCCATCAAATACGGTAAACTGGCCATCAACAGCAATTTAAAAGTTCACATGGATGCTATTCTCCACATGTTAAGAGTTCTATAATTTACTCCAAAAGGTTGTAAAGAAACTGGTAGTAATTGCGACTTTTCAAGAAGTAAGCCTCCAACTTTACCTCCAACAAACTACAAAGAAGCACATGTTAAAATTTACTAACACAGTTGTAATGTTAGTAAATTTTTTCATAAAAAAATATTTACTTACTGTGGTTACCATGTTTAAAAAATACGATATATATATATCCAAATATCATTGTTTTTTGTGCAATAAATTTTTAATTAAGGAAAGATGTTTTGCTCATCCTGTATATCAAATTTCTAAAATTAACTTACATATTCCCTCATGGAACACTTCAAATCTGCAAAAATCAATTTGCCATTTTTCAGTATTTTACTTATTACACGAAGTAATAAATGAAGTTGTCTTCTGTTTGGAGGTAGTAAGAATAGCAGTATCAACTGAAAGCATGACTTAAGTTCTTCAGGATATATTTTTTCTAAAACACAAAAATAATTTTGTGAAACTTAAAATGTTTAATGATAAATATACACACAAAGTATCTGAATAGAATGATACGATGATTTATGCTCTGCAAAACAAATATTTTCTAAAATACATTAACAATCGTTTTAGATTTAATAATAAATATAAGATTCACATGAAATGAAGTAAAATCAAATATAATTTTACCAAGGATTTTATTTTATTTCACTTTTAATAAATTTATTCTTAACTAAATCTTTTTAATATTCTTTCTTGATAAAATAAAATACATATGATAAAAATTCATTTCAAATTATTAAATTTTAAACATTTTAGAAAAAATTTTCAACTTGTAGGTTTTAATTTCAAAAAATCCATTTTGAACATAAATTAAATATATAATATACATAAATAACTCCAATTTTATAATGAACCTTCAAACTGAGGTGGGGGGGGATCATCAACTTGAGAATTTTATTGATTCAATTAGCAATTAAACAAATATAAATCAAAGAATGTTATTAAAACTACTTAGTAAACTTTACTGTGCTTGTTAAGTTCTAGCTAAATTCGATAACTTGGAAAAAATAAATAAATGGACTGATTGACTAATGAATAGTATGTTACTTAACAAGATACTGGAAATGAATGCTTATATTTTCCTAATAGTTCAATAAATTAAAACAGATTACTTTTAGTACACAATTAAAATAATATTTAAAAAAATTAGCATCTTAATAATGGCCCACATAAGCAATTCAATAGTCATATATAAATATTAAATATGTGGATCAATCTCATTAAAATGGTAGAATCCTTACACATCCTTATACTGACAATACTTACACTGATCCTTACATAACAGGCAAATATGTAATCTTATACTCATCATATAAAACTCATCAAATAAAACTCGATCATATAAAACATCATCATATAAAACTCAGCAAAAGAGAGAGATAAAAATATCTGGCAAATGATTTGCTGCAATTTAAAACTAAAACCATTTTAATTTTAGATGCAGTTAACACATTTTAAAAAAACACATTTCTACATTACAATAAACACATAAGCTAAAATAAAAAATTTCACTATAAAGATTTTGTCAGATAAGATAAAAATTTGAAAATAATTGCTAAATTTGCATTTCTATCACAGAAACCTATACATGGTAAGTTAAAATGAAAATAAAATAGCATGTAATTTACTTTAATAATATATTTTGTATCTTGTTTATATGTAATTTACATGGAAGCATTTATAAATCTGGTAAAATTCATTAAAGATAACCAGTCTTTCCTTAAATAATTCATAATAGAAGTTACTGAAATCCAGTCATCTCACATGCCTTCTTGATCATGGGTTCTCAATCATGAAGATTTCGCCAAAGAAAAGAGTAATACTATTTGTTTGTAATATAATATTTATATAATTTATAATATTTATTTAAAGGAATATTAGCCATTTTCAGAAGTGGTAACCTATAAGAGATACCCACGACTAGACGTATTACTGTAATAAATATTTTTAAATATAACAAACCTTAAATTAGCACTGCTCTAAGAGTAAATATAAATATTCCTTTAGAAAAATGTTTCCTAAATCTTTTAGCATCACAATCTACCTGCATAAATTTGTAATTCACTGTAATTTATATATGCCCAGCTAATCTGAGGAGGAAAAAAGAGAAGAGAAAGAAATCCAGGGGAAAAAAGTAAAATAGTACAGAAATAATAAAAATAGATAATATAATTAATAAATGAAGTACAGTGTAATTAACAATTAGGTTCTTACATATTATATATATTCTTACATATTATATATATTCTTACATATTATAAGTCACCAAATTTTCAGAATGTGTCAAACTGTGGTAACCATGCAAATAACCATTCTTTATGCAACTCTGCTCACAACAGACCTTCAGTCAAGCAACATTACCATTTTTGTATATGTTCTTTTTAATGTATTCCAAGTTTTAACAGTTTTTATTTATTGCCAAACACACATGAGCTTGTGGAATTAGTTAGAAATGGAAGAAATTAGGGGTCAAAAATCGTCTCCCAACTCGCACTTTTAGAGCCACTAAATTAAATAATAATAGCCTCTAGTGTACAAACACCTTTTTTTAAGATAATTTCTGAAAGAGAGACCTGTATTCTTATAATGTGGATAAACATCTGAAGTAAATTATGAAGATCAAAATGTTCTAAACCATGATTACTCTCCTTAAACCTTTAATTGGCATGGTTACTCTTCTCAATTTTTTTTAAATATAAAAAAGAATATTCCAGATAAACTATAACAACTGAAGGGTTAACAAGGTTTCTTTATATGTAACAAAACAAGTTTTAACTTTTAATTGGTAAATTTAAAAAGAAAAAAATCTTACCTTCCATATATCCTGAACTAGCACATAAATTTTGATTTTGAGATGAATGAACTGAATGACTAGAAATACAGTTAGAATTATTAGCCTGCAATGAATTTTCTATGTGAGATTCCAAACATTTATTTGATTCACTTTCAGGAAATTTGCCGTTATTAGATTCAACAGCTTCATCAGTTGCAATAATTGTTTTTGAACTTGAGCTTGAGGTATTTAAGTCATTGTTCGCATTCGAATACACACATGATGAATATGAATATCTGTGAACTGTGCGACTTTGTTTTGAAGAGTTGAGACTTTTAAATGAAGATATTTTTTTGCTTGATGAGAGTAACGAATTCTGAGAAACAAGAGGTGTTTTATCATCTTGTAAATTTAATTCAGAATTCCATGACCTGACTGGTGTATGGAACTGTTGCTGACTACAAACACTGATTGTGCTGATTGATTCAGCACTTCCATGAATCTGATTGCAAGTGTTCCTTGCTTTAAAAATGTGATTATCAGGTATCATTCTAGTTACTGGATTTATGGTTTCAAAATCTGTTTCAAAATAAACAGATGGATAATCCCACATTGCTTTGGGATCGTCAAGCAGCAGTCTACCTTCATAATTTTCTCGTACAGAAAAGTTTTCTGTCTCAGAATGCACAGCTACAGAATCATTATTATACACAGGTGTAGATGTCTTCACATCAGGTGCAGATGAATTTGATCTTCCTTCAGTGTATGAAAATTCATTATTTGAATTCTCAAAAGGACTTTGCATAAAATGACCTGAGAATTAAAAGGCGAGGGGAAAAATTAGTATACATAATATTTTTAACTTTAAAAACAAAAATTTCAAAATAATTATATTATCATAACAACATTATCATTTAAATCATATAAAATATATACATACATGCTGTAAAAGTAAAATAAAATATTATACAAAATATTTTAATTTTTAAGAAATATACTTTCATTTTTGAGAAATTTGCACTGTATGAAAAAAAAAAAAGGCAGCAGTTCTATATCTCCTGTTCTACTGGGCCTATTGACAAAATTCAAATTGCGTTCTTCATGTCTCGAAAGCGCGACTTAGGATGTACATTTGATTTATATATAGTGCTATTCTAACATAGGTATTTTGACACAAAAACGGATTTTTTCTGAAATAGCATACCAATTTTTTTACATATTTCGATTCTACGACTCAAATTATGCCAAACTGCCACGTTTTGTAAAAATCGCATAAGTAGTTTTTAAAACATTAGCTCTCAAAATTTTAGCTCCTCAATGTTAATTGAATATGGTATATATTTATTAATATCTCTTTTTTATGAAACGTTTTTCATTCTCCCTTTCGCATTTCGAAATTTAAGTTCATTCCCAGTAAAATTCACCCATTTTTTATGATTTATTTTTAAATAATTTGTATAAATTTTTCAAAAAAATTTTGAATTGTAACCTATAAAATGTTTACCATCATCTTAAAGTAGGTGTATTTATAAGTATACCTGCAAAAAATTAGAGTTTCTTATTCAAAATTTTCTAAGATATTCATGAATTTACATATTTTCACGTTTTGAAATTTGGCATCTTTTTTTCTAGCGATAATAATGCCAAATGTGGTTTATAGATTTTGTTACAGTGAAAAGCCACAGCTATTTTTAACTTTAAATTTCAAATAAATTTTTATGGAGAATAAATTATATGAAATTTTTTCCCTCAATGATGCGTAATAAATATTTATTACTACTATATGAAAAGCTATTTTTTTAATTACAGATGATATTATTCAAATTTCTAACTTTTTTTTTAAATTTCTTTCTTTCTTCTTTTGTTTTTTAACAAAATTTACCTTTACTAAGTAAATTTTTACCTTTGCCGTGTTATCGTCTGCTACTTTACTTTAACTTCATTTAAATTGAATTTCCTAAAACTGAAAAAGTTCATTAATGTTTATTTTCATAATGTTTTTTAGCAAACAGGACGTTGAAAGTTTGGGTCATGTCCCAGCTTTAAATAAATACATATAAATGTAAATTTTACATTAATTCACTTAGAAAGAGTTTTTTAAGTAGTAATTTTCTTTGGTGTTGTAGATTATATAAAAAACATATTCTGTAATATAGAAATTATTAGGCTTTAAAACTCTAAATAATATGATTTAAATTGTTTGCACTCGATATAAGAATCTGGCTACTCAGTGCTACATGAAAAGCGCTGCTAGAGTGGTTTATTTCTTTCTCATTTAACAAAAATTTTTAATTCAAATATTTATCCTTTGGACTTTGCTTTAAACTTTATTTATAGTTAAAATGTCTATAAAATGAAAAGCTATCTTCAGCTGAAATGCACAGCTATTTTAAAAAAATTGACAAGAATGCAAAATTTATGAAAGTATAACAATCGAAAAATCTTAATTTTCTTGTGTCAGCACTGAAAACAAATGTAGAAATAAAGAAGGAAATTAAGGGGGGAAAAGCAAAAATTTAAAGGGGAATGCACTTCAAGGAAGTTGGGGGGAGAAAGAAAAAAACACTTGGACATGCACACCAGCAAATAGCAACAATTGAGTTAGTACTAACGGAGAAGACAAAAATAACATGATTGAAAATTAAATTTAGGAGCGATTGGTTTTCGACTATGTGGCTGTATAAATTTAAATTACGTCATAGAACGTCATATCATATCATAAACGGAACATCCCATGATTTCTCAGTCGAATTATTTGAAGATTCAGGAATTTATCCAGTGACGTTATAAGGTATTATGCCCACCTTCTTAGCGTGCCTTCGTGGTGAAATGGTCTGCATGCTCAGCACGTATTCGAGAGGTCCGTGGTTCAATTCCAGGTGAGGGCATTGCTCATTTTTTAAGTCTCCTGCTTCCAAAAAGTCCTGATGTCTCTAAACCATGTATGGATATCATCTAAAGACCTTTTCCCTCTTGATGAAACCAGTCTTGTTTTTCATCTCATACCTTCAAAATGCTTAGCTTCTAAAGACTGATAAAGGACCTGACCATATACTGATGACATGGATTGAATTGGATTATTAAATTACGACAAAGCAGGGTTATCTGCCTAAAAGAAAGGATGCCTTCGTGAAGAACTTTCTAAGGGAAGCCAGCTGGCATTTACATTACATATGAGAAAAACCATGAAAATGCCCATGCAACCAGTTCCACTTGCTGGGATTCGAACCCTGGAGCGAACTACCAGTGTTCAGCGACTTTACCACTCAGCCGTTCGTGGGCCTTTATGAAATGGAAAGTGATAACTTTATTTAAAATGAATGTCAGAATCACCAAGATGTTTCAAAAAGTTGGATGCTTTTTAACATACTAGCAGAATTCCTGAAGAAAAAGAGCAAGCAATTGAAATTTTTGCATAAAATTTAGTACTTTTTTTTAATTTAAAACTTTTTTTATCTTATGATATTTGATTCTTGTGATTTCAAAAATAAAATATTTGACTAAAATATGAATAACATTTTTAGAAACTAAGTGTAGGATGATCAAATTTTGTAAAGTAATGGGCACAATGATAAAACTGTTTAAAGCAATGTATGCAAGTTATCCTAAGTTAAAATGTCAGTGATACATCTCTCTCATTTATATATCTTTTCTGAACGGAACATTGAAAGGCATGTTAACTGTGCTTTACTGTATTTTCTCTTTTAATATATGTAGTTTTCAAATGCATCACAGTCTGGGTCACAAAGTATTCTTCCGAAAGAAACGCAATTCAAATAAATAAAATCAAAATTTGGAAAATTTATATTAATAAATATATTTAAAATGCTCAGTTAGAATGAATAAATAGAAAATTTTAAAACAATTATCTGAAGAGACAATGCAACACAAACAATTACAATAAAAGTCTAAAAATTTAAACTATTTGAAAAAAGTAACCAATGCACGTTTTATTTAAATTACACAGTTCGAATGGGTAAATAGAAATTTTTAAAACAGTTATTTGAAATAAATCATGCAACTTAACCAATTAAAATGAAATTCAAAAAAGAAAAAATTACTTAAAATAATAACAATTATAATTAAAAATATAATATAAAGAACATTATTTGAAAGAAGGAATGATTGTCACTTTTTCCCCTCTCACGTACGATGTAAAAAGGGATATTAAAATAGGTTGCCGTAATTAAGCAGTTCTTGGTGCAAACTGAAAAAAAAAAAAGCAGCAACGTAAATTGTTGAATTTCTCCATAAATTTTGCTCCAAATTTTACAAAATTTAATATTTAGGCATAATTTGAGTCGTAGAATCAAAATATGTAAAAAAATTGGTATGCTATTTCATAAAAAGTCCAATTTTGTGTCAAAATACCTATGTTAGAATAGTGCTATACATAAATCTAATATATATCCTAAGTCGCACTTTCGAGACATGAAGAACGCAATTTGAATTTCGTCAATCGGCCCAGTAGAACGGGAGATGCAGAACTGTCCCATTTCCTTTTTTTTTGCGCAGTGTACATAAAATAAAAATGAAATGAATGTAATTTTTTTTTTCTGATTATCTAATATAATGAAAAAAGTGCAAATCACATATAGTCATATATTTTATCTTTAAATCAATAAAATAACGTAATGCTGTATTTTTTCCATAAAGGATTATAAAGGACTAATAAATATAAAATTATATTATAAAGGACTAATAAGAAATTAAAAACTTTTCTTTCTTGATGCCTGAGGAAGCTTTTAAATTTAAATTCCTTGCGAGTTCTAATTTTCTTCAACAGTAAAAATTTAGGTTTAAGAGTTGGGCATCAGTAGACAGTATTTATGTATATTACATAAAAATATCATATAACTTTTCATATTCATCAATTTTCATAGTATTTTAATTTTTTAAAAAATTTTAATATAAATTATTTTTGACTTGTTAGATCTCATTTGAAGCTTTCAAAGTGAAAAATTTTTTCTTCCTTTCAGATTTGAATAAAATAAAGCATAGACATTTTGCATTTCAAGAAGCAAAAAGTAATTCAGGAATAACTTTGCAACTTTAATATACATGAAGTGCATGGAAAAATACCTTAGATTTTATCTCATATGCAGTTTTTAATTTTGTTCTTTCTTAATTTTAGCAAAGAATAAAAAGTGATGTACATTAAAGATATTGATTTGTCTTCATGTTAGTTCATTAACATCAATACTAGTGTTAGTTAAATTCAGATCACTCAGATTTGAAATACAGAAATCATATGTAGTAGATGGGGTTTTCAGTGCAATAGATGAATGATGTGTTTGCTTATGCCTGAAGTTTGCTTTTGCAGTTTACGTATAAAGTGCAGTTTTGAGATTGGAAATATACTCAGGATAAAGAACTCGTACAGTACTGCATTTTAATACAAAAGTCCTGGACATCAGACAGAAATATTTGCAGATATTGAATTTTAAAGATTTCAGGATTTAATAGAATCAACAATATAATACAAAACATAATCCAGATAAAACTTTTGAATACATTAATACAAAGGCAATCAAAATTATCAATAAAACATAATAGAAAAAACAGCATTAATTTTTCTTTTAATTTTGATGTAAATGAAATGAAATGAAAATACAGTACAGCCTCATTAACATGAATCTCAATGAACTGAAAAATTAAAGAGTTTGTGTTAAAAAAGTGCATGCTGACTGTGGACTCAAATTCCATTTTGGAAATAATTTTTCTTCCATATTAACTATTTACAGTACATAGTTACAATATAATATGCATGTCATCACAGTACTACATTAATTATTATATTTTGACACCACAGT